TCAAATATCTAAAAATATGTATATTTCAGAAAGTTAGGAGCATCTGAATTCAGGAGGGTTAGGATTAAACTTTTAATAAAAAACTTTAAAGGAATACCATCAGGTTAAAATATTTTAAAAATCCTTACCAGTGTTAACACAACCTTAGGGTATTTGTAATAAAATAATTTTAGAAGTCTAATTTACTTTTCACCTTCAGTCTTGATTGTTTACTGTTTGTATTTCAGTCACCAGGAACAGTGAAAAAGAGGACTCAATTTCTCTGTTTGGTTCTCATATACAAGCACAATGCTACAATGTCTGAGTTGCAAATACTTAGTTTGATGTGAATATTCTTCTGAAGTGTTGTAAATGTTTATTTGCTTTTTTAGTGTGACTGAAAAATCTCTTTTGAAAATAAACAGTAATTAATCTGTCCTGGAGAAGAGGAATCAATAGGCCAAATAACGCTAGCCAATTTTAAAGCAGAACTCTCCATTGTAATCAAATTGCTTCTCCCCAGGATAAAGCCTCTCTAGGCTACTTTAACTAGCACTGAAAATGGATTTTAATGTAACCAAAATTCACACTAAAGTCCTTTCAATATAGAACAGGTCTCTTCAAAACAAGTCAGTATTTAACCTAGCTGCCCACAGGAGGTCACTATTGTTCCATGGTAACAAAGCTCATATTATTTGTTAATACAAACATAAAGCTAGAGACTGCTGTTGTGTATGTTGGTATAACTGTTGAGTAACGGAGCGTGGGGTGTCTCCCTTTCCAGGTGTTTTTTTTAAGTTTGTGAAATAAATTAAATTAAAACTCATAAAAGTTGTACTCACTCTTTAATACATTTATAATTTGCCCCCTCATTTAATAGTGTACATTTTTCTGAAGCTTTCAAGTCATCTTGCCCCTAATCTGATCTTAGGTTCCTAAAATGAGGTTTTTGGGAAGGATGAGGGAAGGAAGACTAATCAGAATATTTAGCAAAGCTAAAAAAGGAAAAATAGCTAATGCATTCAAAGATATGGAAAGATGATAGACAGTTTCTGCCCTCCTTTAAAAAAATATCTGGCTGCTACAATGGAAAGTATCCCTTTGTCCCATTCTCAACTTTACTACAAAAAAAACCAACCAAACAAACAAAAAAACCCCCCCACACTTCTCTCCCTCCCCCACTACTGATATGAAACAAAGCTGCTCCAACAGCATAAAGACACATCAGCTTCCAAAAACATTAGGGCTGTCAAGCGATTAAAATATTTAATCATGATTAATCACGTGCACCTCCCCTTTGAAATGCCGTGGCGGTGTTTCAATGGGGCAGTGAATTAGGAGCCTGGAATCAGCTGGGGACTCCAGCTGATCCCCAGCTCCACTGTTGCAAAGCCACTGTTGCAAAGCCTTCAAAGGGGCAGCACAGCATTAATGCCTGCGATTAATGCATTAAAAAATTAACATATTAATCCTGTCTTGCATTAATTGCAGGCGTTAACGCAGGTCAATCGATAGCCCTAATTGTTATGACTCAGACTTTCTCTAGGGCCTCACATCAAGGCTATGTCTAAATCTTGCTGATTATTTCTGAATAACATCTCTTGGGGTGTATCTACACAGCATCCAAAACTCAAAGTAAATACAAAACTTGAAATAAGATAGTTTATTTGGTTATTTGGCACTGTCTACACAGTGCCAAATTTTGAAATTCAGTGCTATTTCGAGCCCTTACTCCTCGTATGATGAGATTTACAGGGATGGCGAAATAGCACGTCCACTATATTTCGAAATAGCGGACACGTTCCCAAAATAACTTTGCTGTGTAGACATTCCCTAAGATAATGCTTTTTCTGTCCATCTGCACAGCTAACGCTCTTATCCAAGCTCTGATCACCTGTTGCTGCTGCATTCCATTGCTGCTGCATTCTTTTTTCTGGCCTTGGCAAATGCAAATTTGCCCTGATGCTACTCATTCAGAATGTTGCTGCAGAGATGATCTTCTTAGTGCCCTCTCCTTTTCATTGCTCTATTGGCTGCTTCTGTTGTATCACATCTTCACTTTCAAGGCCTTTCACAACCAATCATCTCTTAATCATGATCAAGAGTCAGCGCCCATCTGTTCAACCCAGGATGCCTATCTCCATGACCCACTAGTTACATTTTAAAACAAGCAGCCTCCTGCTTGGGAAGTAGTTTACATAAATGTCTGCAATGCCACTTCACTGCTCTCCTTCAGATTGTTCCTTTACTTTGTCATGATGCCTATATAAAAACATGATAACAGGGTGCTAGTGTGCAGACACCATAGCTTACCATGCCGATCAATATTGTCTCATTGTGTCCTTGCATTTCCCTATTTGTCTGTCTGTATCTATCTGTTGTCTCTTTTTATGCTTAGATTGTAAGCCCTTCAGGGCTCTTTATTGTGTATTTGTACAGTGCCTCATACAATGGGATCCTTGTTGATGACTGACATTTAGGCACTACAGTGTTAACAATATGGCTTAGTTATATGGGCCACATCACTTGTGAAATTGGGATAGTGTATAATACTATCCCTCTAGAACCAGGGACCACTATGTCAAGTAAAATCCACAGGGTGTCTAATGGGATAATGACGTTTTAAATAAGAACCTTTTCTGAGACTAGATGTACTTGATCAAGTTCGCAGATAATGTTGGAACTTCGTTTCTGTAGCCAGACAGACTAACCCCCCATATCATCCATCTTATTTGCCTCTCTGAAGCATACAGGGCAGAGAAGGAGCAGTAAAATCAGCATAGTCTATGCTGGCTCATCTGATCCTGAGAAGCTGAAAAAACAGATATGTGGAGAGAGAGCGATTAAGTCAATAAGCTGGCCTCGAGGCTACGAGAACTGCCCCCGGCTGGCACCCATGTTGATTCGAACACACACACAGTCCCTGGGAGAGGAATTTCCCACTGAGAAAAGAATCCCCAGTAATTCCAATTTAGTTATCTCTCTTACAAGTGTAAATTAAGTTCACAACTCCCTTGTAAGAACTGGTCTCACAAAAGACAGACCAGCCCCATTTGGCATGACAGACAAGAAAGAGAAATACGTGACCCCATGAGTATAAAAGATGGTCCAGCAGCACACTCACTTTGAGTAAAGATGGGTCCAGCACACACTCACTTTGAGTGTCATTCTACCCTCTACCTGCTGGTCGGGTTAGGTGTTTGACCTCCCAAGGTTCTATGGGGACACCCACCTCGTATTTTCATCTTCCCTAGGAATTGAGGGACCGGCCCTGGCCTGACATGCTGGAGTCGAGAGGCACAGAAGGGGGTAAAAATTGTACCTGGATGTGGTCCTCTGTTTTAAGTGTACACACAGAAAGAGTAAGCTGTTACTTGGTACCATTATTTCTATGTTTCTATCTTTATCTTCTTTGTAATCATTTTTAAGATCTATATTTTGCTAATAGTTAAGAAATAGAACAATAGCCATTGCAACCATATGATTTATAAGCTTCCTCAATAAACCTGTAACTGTTTAAGTTTTAACCTGACTCCTTCAGTTGCTGTAACAGAACCAGGCACAATTTAAAAGAACTTCAGCCGGTCATAAAGGGACAGATATAGGGAGCCCTGACCGTCGGCTGACAGTTCCAAAACTGCATTTTGGTCCTAAGCAGTCAACTCTTGGCCCAGGTAAAAATCAGTCTTCAGTAGGGATAGGGTAGTGTCCTTGGGATGAAATCCTATTTAAAATCATATTAATGATAAAAAAAACCTGTTGCATTGGCTATAGTTTCACTTTGTGAGATCTGCAAGGACAACCCATCCGAAACCCATGACTAACAGTCTAGTACTACTCAGTCTGTATTATCATCTTATTTCCCCTGCCGTCCATGCAACTTACAACAAAGAAATCCTACAATTGTCTAGGTATTACAAACATTCAGCACAGATGTCCAAAGGGGAGAAAAATAATGGAGATACTGAATTAATCCTGCACCAACACAAATCAACTGCCGCCTCCCAGTAGCCCCAGATTTCTGTCTATGGCAGCGGTTTTCAATCTTTTTGAGCTGAGGCCCCCTTCCCACGAGTTACAATTTTGATCACACCCAGGTACCCAGCTCCAACAAAAATAGACAAATGCAAAAGTATGGTCAATAGTGTCAGGGGGCAACCCCCCCCCCCCCTCAGGGAGTGCCGCCCTTGTCCGGGGCATAGTTTAGACCTCTCAGGCCTAGTCTCACCACACGCGGCCCCTGTAATGGGGGAATACGGCCCACCAGCCTAGTCTAGTCCTTCAGCCGAGCCCCCACTCACTGGGGTTCCGGGCAGGAAGCGTAGGGGGGCCCGGGCCCTCCCTTTCCACCAGGCTCCGACCCAGGGCCCTATCAGTGGCGGGCGGCTCCCACCATTGGCTCGGCAGGGGTTCCTCCCCGCAACGCACCGAGCCCTCAGGGGCTTTTCCAGCTCCCTGCCCTGGGTCAATTCCTATTCCCAGCCCCCAGCCCGTAGCGGTCCCAACCATTGGCGCGAGTCAGGTGGCGGTAGCTCCCCAGTCAGTGTCGGGGTTTACGGTGGCTGGTGCGGTGCCTGGGTTTCAGGGGGCTGGCCCGCAGCTCCGTCGCTGGGGTTGAGCCCAGCTTGGGCCTGGCAGCGGTGCATCCAGCAGGCCTGACAACTCCCTCTCTAGCTGTCAGTGCTGCTGCTTGGGAGATTGGGCGTTAACTCTAGCTCTGATGGCGGTCTGCCCTTTCTCAGCAGGCCTGCAGCCTTTTATACCTTGGCTCCCCTGGGAGCATGCCCAGTAGGGCTGCGTGGGTGGGACCCTCTCCACCCCCTGCACCAGGTGGTTTCCTTGGGCTTGAGTGCGGGGTGGGGCTGCCCATGTCACAAATAGCCTATTCATAAAACTACCAGAAGCCTTAACAGGCAATTAATTAAATTGTCTATCCCTGTACGCTTCAAATACATAGATAAATAATGTGAAGGGTGTGTTTGTTTCTCTGTGGATTTTTATTAATTTGTGGGGAGATTTTTTTAAACTAACACTCAAAGGTTCTCCTCCACTTCCAGCCTTGAATAGCACTTTGTTTTAGTCCCGCCAGCACAGAGAATACAATTTTACACAAATAAGATGGCAAAAGGGCTGTGATTGCAACTTTGACAAAGCTGGATCTTCTGAGCCAACTTTCAACCAAAAATCCCACAAAGTCTTTTTACATTTGAATTTCCAGGGTCCTAACTGAACTCTGAAGTTCAGCCAGCTTCTCCTCAATGTCATTTGAAAGATGGGACAAGGTCACTGGATAATCCATGCAGGGGTGCATTTTCTTCAGGGAAATATTTATTCAAACTGGTTCTGAGAGAAGTCAGGACATTCTTGATTGGCTTCACAAAACTCAATTGTTCAGATTCTGTGTCATTGTTAGTGTCAGTTAACAATTGGAATGGAATGCTCAATACAGTTTTGATCTTTGTTTTCCAGAGTTCAAGCTTTCCCTTGAACGCAAATATCTTGGTTTGCAGATGAAAAATAGTACTTTCCACTTCTTGCAATGAGACATTTAGAGAATTCAGTTTGTCAGCAGTATCTGTAAGGCAAGCCAAAAGCATAAGCCAATGGAGATCAAATAGGCTATGTCATGATCATGAGAGATGGACAGCAGCCTGGGGATTAAGTGGTTAACTATACCTAAGCCGGGTAGAGCTGGTCAATAGGATTGTAGGTAGGAATTTCAAACTGGGACAAAGGATTTTTTGGTTTTTTCCTCCTTTGTCCCGGGGCAGTTTCTCTCCAGCTACTGAAGGGGACAGACAAAATGTCTCCCCCCAAGAAAAGAATCTTCACCATCTATAAGTAGGGCAAAATCTAGATAAACCCGTTAGGTTTTATTGTTTTATGGTTTGGGAATGGGAATCTGATGTCTATGCATTTAGAAATGGGGTTTCCTCTCTTTTGCAACTAAGCTCTTCGCCCATGGTGGGGTTCTCCCCATGAGTATATTAATTTGCTTTCCATAAAACTCAAGGACTACACAGTGCTAGTGTTACTCATACCAAAATTGACAGAGTGAATGCATGGCTGTTGCCCACTAATTCCACTGGAAAACTCCCATTGACTTGAACAGGTTTTGAATCACACACTCCGCATTTGCACTTCTACAGCAGTGGATTTTATAAACTCAGCCAGACTCTTAGCATTAGTTTGAATTTAACGCAATATCTCGTATACCAGCTAGTGCTAGTTCTATAGTGACAATACCTGACTGAAAAAAAGCCCTCTTGATGAAGGTCTTGCTGTACAGTACGGTTTGAACCTCTCTAGTCTTGCACCCTCGGGACCTGACTGGTGCCAAACCAGAGAATTTGCTGAACTACAGGAAGTCAATATTGTTTATTGGCATTACCAACACTTCTGCTGCTTACTGCACTCTTAGAAGACATTTGGGGTAAATTAGAGCTAAACAACAGCACAGAACACTGATAGGAAGGAGTGGTGGCTGTAAACAAACTTTATGGAACTTGGTCATGCCCATGGTAAGTGGACATCCGGCTAACTAAAATCATGCCGGACCATGGATGTTGCTGGACCACAGAGAGGTTCAACCTGAATACAAACCTACAAGAAGGGGCAGCCCGTGAGCCTAGGCAAACTAGGTAGTTGCCTCGGGCCGCACCTGCCTACAAGATTCACATGCAGTATTAAATCATGTAATTCCATTGCAATGAATCCCCTTATGATTTTTGCTTTCTAGGATCTCCTGCAGTATGGAGTAGGATCTGTGGCTTCTTAATTTCATCACCTACTTTTGATGCCTCAGATTGTGATTATGTCTTTGGTTTGAAAGCTCTGCAAAACTTTCTTTAATAAGTGAAAAGTCAACTATTCCATAATACACAAGATTCTTTGGAGATGAGCATGCTTTGTACCAAAGCATTCTTTCAGCATTGCAAACTATCTACATTACCTACTTGAACAAAAGCTCTAAAGTGTAGTTAAAGTATATGAAATACATGCAAGGGCAGGTCAGACCTGCAGGCCAGATCTAGTCTGCTCAGCATTTCTTTCCAGCCTGCCCAGCTGTCTGTCTGTCTGTCTGTCTCTCTCTCTCTCTCTCTCTCACACACACACACACACACACTCACACACTCCTCCTCCTCCTCTCTCTGAAGAGCGGGAGAGAGAGGAGACAACAGAGCAGGACAGCTTTCCCTATCTTAAAGAAAATTTACCCAGAAGCAGCCAGCATACACACTTTCTGTGTCACTGTCTCTGTGTCACACACACACACAGTCATTGTCATATACGCTCTCCTATCTTTGTGCCACACAATCTGTGTCACAAAGTCTGTTTCTCACACACACAGGCTGTGTCTAGACTGGCAAGTTTTTCCGGAAAATCATCTGCTTTTCCGGAAAAACTTGCCAGCTATCTACACTGGCCACTTGAATTTCCGGAAAAGCACTGACGATCTCATGTAAAATCATCAGTGCTTTTCCGGAAAAACTATGCTGCTCCCGTTCGGGCAAAAGTCTTTTTCCGGAAAACTGTTCCGGAAAAGGGCCAGTGTAGACAGCACAGTAGTGTTTGCCGCAAAAAAGCCCCGATCGCCAAAATGACAATCGGGGCTTTTTTCCGGAAAAGCGCGTCTACATTGGCCACGGACGCTTTTCTGGAAAAAGGGCTTTTCCGGAAAAGCATCCTGCCAA